ATATATATATATATATATATATACATATATATACATGCACACATACATATGGAAGATATGTCTTTAGCTATACATATAAGAAAGACAGAAAGGTTTCCCAAATCTAGAACAGTCAATATTTTTATACTAATTCATAACAAACCATGCTGTATTTGTATAATACTCAAAAGAAAATTCAAATCCTATGAACAATACGAATATAAGATATGTAAATATTTTATGGTAAACACACATAGTAAACTAAGTACTAAAAAAATTATTAATATATATAGTAAGTCAGTTATAGGTCAGTTGACATCATCACTTTTATTTGCACTGAATTTTTCTATTCCTGGCTGAGTACTAATCAGTATGGTGCCTCCGATTTTTTGCTTTTTATGTGCAAAAAAGCTCAAAGTTGGGGTGATTTTATTACAGTACAATGCGATCGAATATTTTGTTTCTAGGCCAGGCTATGAAAGCACATAGCGAACCTAAAAATTCTCGCTCTACAGCGCTTGTTAGCACGAATGAAGCCTAAACCGCCCTAGGCATGGCCTAGAAATGCATAATGGTTATGGGATAACAAGATTGACTGAAAAACTGAAGAACTGAAAAAAAATAAGGCGTTGCTGAAATAATTCATAATAATGTTTAGAAAACATATGAATCTATTACACAAATGTCTACCAGGAAGGAGGTTAGGCCTACCTAATAACCCCTAATGAACTTTATTAACTACAATCAATTTATTCATCTCTGTATCGCCAAGTATCGTGAAGACCTGTGCTTTCATTCAAAAATTGCCTTCAGTCCTGCAGGCTTCAGGCAATTTTTCAGGAAATATGGCTCCTTTGGCTTCTATTTCCTATAGTGTACTCAAAACCTGTCATTAATTGCTTATTATAAATATGGAAATATATATTTTAGTTATACATAAGCATTTGCCAATGGAAGATGAAATTCCTTTTGTATTTTTTGAGGACAATCATAAATGTTCCCTAAATCTAAAGCAGCCCATATCTGTACACTAATTCACGTCAAACCAGTTTGTATTTGTATAATACTCTCTCTAAAAAGAAATGTTTTACAATATTATAAACAATCCAATATATGAGATATAAAATTGTAAATATAGCATGATAATATAGGTACTTAATGGTAAACATACATAGTAAAATACTATAAAAATTATCAATATAAAGTATTTTATATAGAAGATATGAATTTTGTTTATAATACATATAATAAAGAAAGAAACCAAATCTAGAGCATTCAATATTTGTATACTAATTCACATCAAACCAGGTTGTACTTTTAATACTCTCTCAAGAAAATTTTTCCAGTAATAAACAAAACCAATTATATAATTATCAATATATGAAATACAAAATGTAAATATAACATAATATACGACATAATGTTAAAACACACATTGTAAGCTAAGTACCTAAAAAATGATCAATATAAAGTATTATAGATGTGAAATATATAAATTTGTGGGAATGCTTTATGAATTTGGTCAGGAAGAGGAGTCTGCAAGTGTAATCGCCCCAACTGGGATCTTCTACTGATGCAGATGTCTTAACCAACTGGGTCACTGAGACTTAGCTATTAAAATGTGTTGTAGTGGAAAAGCCAATAAGGAAACATTATACAAGTACAGTATAGGTCCTTTACAGTCTATATTTTTCAATAATTATCAATTACAAGGGTAATAAATTCATCACAAATAGAAACGCTATAGTGGTTTGTTTTTTTTTAAATCATTTTAAGAAATATTTTTTTAATTTAAAACATTTTTTTTTTTTAATTGGTTTGGGTCGAAAACAAGGATGCCAAGCAGCAAACTTAATTACTATTCAAAGTGACATATCATTTCACAAAACAAAACATAAACACAAGATACTCTACACAAACAAAGTCTCATAAATTTAAGGATTGGAGTTGTTTTGGTCATAAGAAAAAAAATCATGTTATACGTGACAGGAATTCAACCCAGGACCCTGGGGTTGGAAGGCAAGCATCTTCACCACCAAGCTATTCAACTCCACTCTTGTATTGTTGGACGTTATGAAAAGAGTAAATTTGGTTTTCAAAAAGTGCTAGGTTGTATTCTAGACTTATTAGCTTTTCCCATGCTTCGTTTTAAAATGAGAGTTTTACAATTTCACAAATAGTTAAAAAAAGTAAGTAATATTAATGTAAGTAGTACTTCATGAGAATAGACATACTGTCATGAAAGCTTGTGGTAAAAAAAAATCTCAACTAGTCTACTACTTTTTGCTTTTATTACTGCTTAAATAGTGAGCCATTGGATCTTATATTTGAACTTCAAAAAGTCCCTTTTAAAAAATAGACCATTTATAATTGTAAATACTAAGCACATTAGAGGCAACTGTATTTTATTATATGCTATTAATATAAGACATGCTTTGTTATTATCTTAATTATTATTATTGACTACCAAAGTTTACATATAATTTATTGAAAAACTGTTTTATCTACTAGACCAGGCCCAGGATTTATCAATCTCAGCTTAGCAAATGTCTTAATTCAGACAAGTTAAGATGTCCTTAATAAATATGTTACGCTGATTTATTACCCAATCTTAGCAAAATCTTGGCTTAAAAATCATCTTAGAATTAGATGTTGCCAATTACATACAATCGACTTTCTAATTTTAAGCAATTTTTAAGCTAAGCAATATGGATAAATTTGACATTGCAAAAAAATGGACTTAAGACGAATTTAAGCTGATTTTCAGGCCTGTATAAAGAGGTTTTCTAAATCTTTTTTGTGCGAGCCACACGTGATAAATCATATGGCTTCTCCCATTGTATAAAATTCATTAAAAAATGTTTATTAAGCAAAAGCTCTTCTCCTTTGACCCAACCATGGTAAAAAAAGAGTTATAATTGGTGTTAGACCAACCTAGTGAACATCACACAATCAAAGTCACAATAGTAATTAATAACATCAATATTATATATTATTTACGATAAACCCAACTGTTTGTACTGACAATTATGTATGTCATTTGAGCAGAGGAAAAGACTGATAAACAAACTGGAAAACTTAGGCGCTTCTTTCTGCCTTGGGTTATTCAATCTATTTAGGTGAATTAAATCACCATTGTTTTTAAAGTTTTACCAATGTATTCTTAAAGGTAAATGATTACAAAAATTTCACAATGTTACCAAAAAATGCAGTTTTGGCTGGATCACTTATTAGAGTAAATATATAAATGCATTTAGCTGAACTTATGTGCTCCTATTTAAATATCTATAAGTGCTTGATTTTTATGAAACTGGAATATAAATACTGTTGTAAAAATTCAGTAAATCATTCCGTAAACAATAAAACATTTTGATTGACTTAAGGTCTGTCCAGACTATCAAACTTTATTTGAGAAAAATATGCCTAAATATGGTCATGATGACATCATATCATGACTATATATAGGCACATCATGACTAAATATGGGCATACACTATTTTTTGTCAACGAAAATTTGATAATCATTGTGTACACCACTTTGTTTCTAAAATTGTTTAAACCATCTTGTTGCTTAAACATTTTATACACCACCTTGTTTATAAAATTGTTTATACTACCTGGTTTTCAACAAGCTAATACTTTGTACACAACCTTGTTTCTAACAGGTTTTTACCCCATCTTGTTGCCAACATTTTGTTTAAACCATCCTGTTACCAACATGTCAACATTTTGTTATACCATTTTGTTGCCCACATGCCAACATTTTGTTTACACTCATCTTGTTGCCAACATACTAACATTTTGTACATCAACTTGTTGAGATAAACTGTATGCTATCAATTAGTAATTGTATATTTGTATTGTTTTATGTCCATTGTTTGCTACTGCAACTCTTCTTGGATGGTGTGAAATTATACATAATCCTAATGAATTGTTGATTTCACCTTCATTATCAATTCGTTTGATGAAAGTTCCATCACTACTGAATAATTGCAGTTTGTTTTGACTCGATACAATGATGTTGTCATCCTCATCAACTACAACTCCTTGTGAATTCAGTAATCTACCATCTCTAATACCTGATCTGACAAGGAGTTTTAAAACATTTCCCTTGTTATCAAGTAATTTTAATGCATGGTGTTGTAAAATTTTAGATCTAAAATTGCCTAAGTTTTGTAGTAAGGTCATGTTTCCTCCTTTTGTAAAAGTGACATCATTGGTGTTCATTCTTGAGATCCTCCGGATCATCTGGCCACTAACATTGTCAAACATGAACACACAGCTATCTGCTACGTACGTAACATTTGATGACTCATTCACATGAATACCCTGTGGGTCAGTAAGTTCTCCCTCTCCAATTGATTTAATCACCTCACCATTTTCATTTATGGTTGTGATGCATTTATTACCGCAATCACTAAAGGCTATGTCACCATTTGTCATTTTACACATTCTGTTAACTTTCACACCTTCTGGTAGTGTAGACTTGTCAATATAATTTCCTGATTTCTTATACTTGAAAATGTCTGCTGTTTGACAAGCAACCAGTAAGCAATCATCTCTACTCAAAACTACATCTGAAACAATATCTTGGTGTATTTTAATGGTATTCTTTAGTCCTTTCTTCTCTACTGTGATTGCCATTGGTGAATATTTGATTGGTTCATCATCAAGACTCACATTTAATTTGTAAACACCTGGAATTTTGCATTTTCTTGTGAAAAATATGTTTCCATAGACAGTTTCTTCATGTTGAATCATGCAAGTATTCCCTGAAGGCTGCGTCCATGTTGCCTTCAGTATATTTTTATCTATTATAAGTCCTGTGTTAATTAATTTGACTTTAATTGTCTGGCCTTGGATCACTTCTTCTTCTTCTGTCATTAAATGTAGGCAGTCTGGTGCTCTTTCCTCTGTTACATTTCCAATATCATGCTGTTTCAGTGAAGAAATGTGATAACTGTTTTCAAAGAAGTAAATTTGTCCATTATCATTTGGCTGTGTTCGTGGAATTTCTTTGATTCTATCCTGCAGTGCTGTAATCACCATGTCACTTGATTGCATCGCTACTACCTCATTACTCTTCAATAACTGATTGAGATAAGTCAGTTTTATATTTGCATCAGATATTGTTGTTTTCAATTCATCCATTTGCATGTTGATAACATCTTTTTTCCTTTTGTAGATTTTGTGTACTTGATCCTTCACGTCATTTCCTTTGTCCTTGATTGTATTGATAACTTCTTGCATAAGCTTGTCAATATCTTTCATAATGGTTTCTTGACATTGTTCTAGTTTTGTATTATTCTGATTAACTGCTTCAAGGCTATCTTTTATTTTGTCTGTAAATTGATTAACAGCTTCTTTTAATTCTGTAGCAGTTTTTTGAAACTGTTGAAATGCTTCTGAAATTTCAACTGGTTTATGTTTTCCTTCACATTCTCTGTGGCCTACTACTGTACAAGACGTACATATTGGAATTTTACAGTTTATGCAGTAAAATCTCAAAGGCTCCTTGTGATTGTCACACAATGGAAGATGTAGTGAAACAAATTCTTGAGAATTCATTGATTGCACATCCTCCACTTTAAGTAGCTTGTGGTGGTCTGAAATATGTTGGTCGGAAATATGTTGCTCAATGCAAGTTGGGCACACATAGTTTTTGCAATTCTGGCAGTAGTGTGTAGCCTTCCCTTTATTCCACAAACACATTTCATGTCATCTTTTTTTTCAAGTTGTTCAATTATTTCTTGTAAGTTATTCAGAAAGTTATTTAAAGGAAGTTTGTGAAGCCCGCCCTCAGGAATGGGGTTCTCCTTCAAGCAAATTGGGCAGGTCAGCTTTCCAGATTTTTTTACCCAATCCTCCAGACAGGCCAAACAAAAACTATGAAGGCAGTTGAGGGATTTAGGATTTTGAAAACTTTTAAAGCATATGGTACACTCCAGGACATTTTCTTCGATGTCTTCAAGGAACTGTTTTAACTCACTGGTAGCCATCTTGACAAAGACCTGTGAATAATAAGGTATTTTTATTTAGTTTTCGGAACTTTTTTCAAAAGGGTGCACCTTACAGCGAACATAGCGGACTTACCGTGACTGACTAATATTTATGTTTTGCCCTTATATGGGTGTGATATGACATCATCATGCCCATATATGGCAAATCACAAATGCTTTTCACAATAGGTTAAGTCTTGTAGGGCTGCATCTTTCTTTTATTCCACTATCAAAGAGCTCAATCACCCAGCGCACAGACTTTTTTGCTTGATGCACTATGCAAGTCCAACTATTATTATTACTATTATTATTATTGTATTGTTAATATTATTATTTAGAAAATTTGTTGACAGAGCATTATTATTATTACCCTTTCCAGTGTGCGCCATTACCATTGCGCGAGACTGCAACCATTTTTAATAACAATCACATACCAACATCAATTATTTTTATTTTATTTTTTATTCTGAATACAAAATAACATTCAAGAATAAAAACACAATTAAATTTTGAAAAGACAAACAAATTTCCATTTTGAATCAAATTCATTCTCTTTTACTTGGCACAGTCCATTTTGTTTGTTTTTAAAAAATTTTGACATAATACTTAATACAGAAAACTGATTACATTTATCAAAAGTTCATCCCCATTTCACCTTCAGGCCCCATTAGCCCAG